AGATATTAAAGCACGGGTAAACTAAGCAGCGTCCAAAAGTTTCATTTCATTTTGTTATTATTTAAGGAAGAGGAGGTGAAATGCTTTTACGCACACAGGAGGCCAGCCTGAAGTGCAAGAGTTTGGAGCTGATAAAACTACTCACTAAATGTCCCAGTCCCCTTATGGACCCAGACCTGCAAATGCTTGTGAGATTAATTCAAACTAGCAACATGAGACTTAATCCCCAAGGGCTCAAACCGTTTTTGGCATTTAGTTCTTTTAAGACCCAGGCAACATCCCGGTCAAGGTCAAGCTATTTAGCGCAGAATTATCTTTGCAATAAATGTGGCACTCTGGTCCAATCAGGTCCAGAGAAGAAAATTAAAATTGAAATCGTGGTCCAATCACAGTCTCCTCACACTTCATTAGTTTCAGGATGGATTTTAGAAAATTTCCCGTATCGGGAACAAGCTATTACCATAGTACCCGTGGTAAGATCTGGACTCGGGACCGATTAACTTTTTTGTTTTGAGAAAAAATTATCTTATTTTGATGAAATTTAATATAAACGTGTAAACCTACATTTATTCAAACGAGTTCGCGATCCAGCATGATCAGACTATGGGAACAGGGATTAATGGGGGTTTTTTATGGGTTAAATTTGGATTTTCCAATTTTTGACCTAAAAACAAAAATTACCAACTACTTTCCAAACCATTTTGTAGAGGTTAAAAAACAAATAATTTATTTTGATGAAGCGTTACAATGCGCCTAATGGTTGTGTTGAAAAAAAAATTGAATTTAAATTGTCATGTTATTCTTATGGAGAACAAATAAACAGATGTAGTTTGCTTGTTTAAGAACATATTTTGATCAAATTTTGAAAATGCATTTATTTCTTACTAAACTATTAACATTTTTTTAAACCCCCTTTTTTACCTTCACTGTAGAAGCAAAGTTAGTACTCGTTAAACTAATTCTATTAAATAAGGGAATAAATGTGACATTTTAAGGAGACATTTTTGTGGGGAAATGGAAGTCATCAGGGAAATGGAAATTCGCTCAGTATTTAAGTACTTATTATTTAAGTACTTTTCTGCAGGTTTGCTACGGCGGAGGTATTTATACTTAATATTTACACCTTCAAAACAAATGTAGGTTATTTCACCCTATATTTTTATGTTTTGTTATTCACAAACTTTTGTAATATAACTTTTTTTACAAACCCTCTAGCAAAATGAATGGATTGATTGATCTTTTGCTTGCTTTCCGAAGGTCAAAAAGTAAAGCTCAAACTATCTATAGAATTTTAACAATTTTGGTGCAGTACCTAAAGTCAATGACGTCATATATATAAAACATACGGGTAAGTTAATCATCAATTTAAGAATATTATTCAAGTTTTAAAATAACTCCTAATTTGACTTGGCTAATGCATGTATATGTTGATCTTGCCTAATAAATTACTTATTGACTTATTACTTATCAAAACAAATTTATAAAACATGAAAAAAAGTTGTTCGTTATAAAAACTACAATGAATGCTTTGCTTAAATGAATAAGTTCTCAGCCCCAGCTGTGCAGAAAGAAGGTTTTATTTAACAACGTTCATTTGTGAGGTGGCGAGCTAAGGTTGTTAGTACTTTGTTGACACTTCTAATCAGATTACTCACTAGCGCTACACAGCTGTTACTTGAATCAAACTTTAATAGATGAAGATGTTTTATATACTCATAAAATAAGCCTAGCTTTTGCTATGCTATAAAATATAGCTTTGTAATGAAAACTAATACTACGATATATTATGTTATGAATACGTTCAAAGTTTAATTTGCAACATCGAAATGTTTTTTTTTACGCTGTTTTAAACCAAATATTTAACTTTTTTTTAAAGGATTTAGGCATAATATTATTAAGAATAAACTTCTTACAAAACTATTTGGGTATTTTTTAGATGTGCTTGTGTTTTATTGTCGGGACTGTTTCAGGAGGTCTAAACTAGAATCAGAAACGTGTTCTTTAAGGTTTGAAAATATAAATTCAGAATGACATAAAATATACAGTTCATAAAAAAATATTAAAATAACCATTAAAAAGTGTTGGTGATTATAAATTATTTCAATTCGTGTTTAAGCCTCTAGTATCTATTTCTTCTATAAGACTTTGTCGCAGTGATTATACTACACCACGTGAATCTATGTTTTTTTTTATTATTAAAATGACAATCGCGTCTATATCTATCTAGAATAATGGTTATATGGCAGTCATGATCTACTATAATCATTTTACCAATTAATAAACGGAGAATAAAATTCCCTTTACAGGCCTTACATAATAAAGTCCGTACATATAATTTAGTCTTGTTAAATTATATCTCTGATGAATAAGGACTAGAACTAGTAATTTCTACGACAAGAAAGGAACGCACCCTTACATAAATTAAGGACATAGTAATTCTAAATCTTCAATAACAGGCCGATTGTCCAATGAAACAGTTTATTTTAAGTGTTCTGGTTTGTACAATGTAAGACATCGTTGGCAATTTTGCTTTGACCATTACGAAAAATGAGAGGGTTTCCTTGCGCAATGAATCCAGCTCTAAGTGAAAAGATCTGTCATCGAAACTTTTCCTCCTCCTACTTCTTCATCTGTGGTTGTAGAATGTAATGCATTTTTTTCTGATTGAAAATAGCAATTGATTTTATTTAATATTTTACATAGTAACTGATGATGGTTACTAAATAGTAGTATTTAATTTAATTACTTTCAACAAGTATTTAGAATAAAAAGTCTAGAAAAGATTACATCTCGAATTTCAAGAAAACCTACCCTAATTGTTTACTACTTTGTCTTAAATTGGTCTAATTAGGCTTGATTAATATTGTTTCAACTTTTTAAGGATGTAAAAAAGCCAACGGTAAGAGTTTTGATAGCTGGTCTAGCATCTGAAAAACTTTAATGATTCTAAGATACACTGTGTTCTGCTTATCTTTGTATATCCTTGGACAGCTTAGTTCTGTTACTTAGTGACTATTTCATAATCACTTATTGCTCAAAAACTACTAAAACGATAAATTATTTTTAAAGTAGAGTTAAGATCCAACAAATAGGAAAAAAGTATACAAAGCTTGGTAATAGATCTGTTAAATATTGTCAAAGTAATTGTTTATAAACTTTACAAAGTTAATCAAAAGATACTAGAGTTGTTAATATGTCTAATTAGTCCACACGTATTTTATTTGGTTTTAATTTAATTATTATTTGTATCCTTACTAACCTGGGAAGGTATATTAAGGATTCAGGCCACAATAGTAAGGCAGGAAGATTTTAGCTGCGTTAACTCCACGGCTGAGAGGTCACAAGGTTTCGCCAGTCAAAAGCCCTCCTTTCCCGCCATTTATCCTTCTCTTCCCGCCATTTATCACTTCCGCTATTTATTGACTTCCTTAAGAAATTTTCCTCACGTAAAACGTTTTCAATTTGTGTGAGCCTTCTGCAATATTTTTTTCTTCTCGTATTTATGTCATGTACTTTTTGTGACTTATTGGTTCTTTTTAAGTGCTGTTAAGTACCTTTTGAGTACGACTCACTTTAATGAGTTGGATCTAAATTCCGAACATTGGTACAATAGATAAGTGTGATGCAAAAATATAGATCATAAATTATTAAAATACTAAATACAGTACTCGAAGCGAATCAGTTTTTTCTTCTTTTTTTCTTTTACTGACTGAACATTTAGTAAAAATAACATACCTGTCACAAAGTTACATATAATTCTGGTTACAAAGGCAATTACAACTGAATGGATCATCCCACATTCTTTTTTTAACTTTTATTATGTATCATGAAACAAATAAAAATCCAAGAACGTACGACGTACAGTGAAAATTGAAAAAAATATGTAAGCATTATTTTATACAACAAAAAAGTCGCCTAAGACAACCATGATTGCATTAAATAAAAAACCGTTGTGTTGTACTAACCACGAAGGTGTATTAGGTATTTACCAAAGAAAATAAATATAATTAACTTATTAAATTCACCCTATTTTTTTATGAATGATTGTTACGATTATACTTTACATGCATAACTATACATTTTGCATCCGTGATCGACACTTGTAATTCACACAGATCTATAACTGTCGTCAGGCCTTTACTTATTGATTTGTTTACAACGATTTAATCTGGGCTAAAGTTTAAACAGTTTCTTAATATGTTGAAATCATACTGGCAAAGTTAAATACAGTATATAATGTACTGTGTGCAAAATACTGCTGAAAACTAAAAAAAAACTATATGATTAGGAAAAGTGCTATACACTATAACCAATATAAATAAAAAAATAGTATTCAATTTTAATAGAATATACGAGTTCACTGATCGTCAGGTAGTCATCCTTAAGGGAATGAGAAACTATGCACTACCCTAGACAAGCATATAAAAATTAATTATTCCTACACTGTACCATACAATGAACCAAATGAATTAAAATTGTGTTTAAATGACACATGTAGGTATTAAGGTAGGTAATTATACATGGTGAATGCTTAGTATTTTCACATACTGAGTGTTGTGAACCAACGCAAAAAATTAAACTTTTGCCCAAGCTATAAACGTTTTATTTTCTTACTATCTTTTTCGTAATCTGATTTACTTGCCATATGTTTTTGAACACGTTGGACCTTAAATGTATGTACATTTCTAGATTATTAATATTTTTACACCAAATATACCTGAATAAGTTAGCATAATGGACATGTCAATAAATATGTGTTATCAGAACCATTACGAACTACAATTCGTTTGATAACCTTCATAAGTGTAAGTATTATTTTTTTTTAGTTTGTTTCGATATTAACAGTTAAAATGGTTGAAGTTCAGTTAAAGTCTGTTAAGTGGATAATAACCAAAGTTCATGTGCAATTACAAATATAATTCGTTAAAAATAGTGGTTGAAAAAGGTGTTACAATGATTTTATTGTGAATAAGTTAGAGAAAACATCATCCTTATGAACAATGTCAATGTAAGTCAAAGTAAAACCTTCCTTTGTGTTACAATTTTTATATATTTACTATTATAGACTAGGCCTTAAGTATTGTTTCTACTTTTTGTTAATGTTTGTTTTCATGTCATAATGAGTGAATGTATTAATATATTCACGAACTGGCCTTTAAAGCACAATAAATCTTTGTAATGTTGCTTATGGTGTATGCCAACTATATAAATGTTTACGAGAATTTAAACTTATTGTATTATTTTTATTTCTCATTAAGTCCTACAATTTATCTCTTGCTATTCATCCTGTAAACTTATTAAAGTATAAAATTTTAATATAAATTATTTGTGTTCAATTTAAAATTATCAATATTTAAATTTATATTTTTCCTTGGACAATCTATTAATCATTACATTGCAAAAAGGTACAAGATTTAAAAGTAAAAACAATACTTAAGTGTCTTATCAAGTGATTTACTCGGTAATAATGTTTATAAAATATAATAATACGGTGAGAATAACTGCAAACCAAAATAAAATGGTTCAGCACTCTAACACGTAGTGCATTATTTTTATCAAACAACAATTATATCTTAAACTGTGTTTTTGCTAGACCAGTTTCATTCATCCAGAAGCTTGGCAGAGGAGATTTGGAGTATGTTCCCAGAGAAGGTTGGGGTGGACTTGATGGTCAAAACTACGTCAAAGAAAGTATCCAACTTACTCCTATATCCAATGTGAGGATAGTATCCACAGGAGAGCGTGAGGATAGGTGCAGCAATGTATCCGAGTGTGCACAGGTCCTCCGCAGGATACAGAAGTACCACATGAAGTTTTGTGGCCTTGAAGACATCGCTTACAAGTAAACCATCCAGCAAATATTTCTAATTTAAACAAAATATAAGATCAATGTTTGAGGATATAGAAATGTAATCATGCGTCTTAATCATAAAAAATATTAATTTTATTTATGGAATGAATAGGTCTAAAACAAGTAGTTTTCCTCAAGTTGACGTTTGTTCGTTGAAAATTGTTCTCTAATAAGTGCGGTTTTCAAATTCTAGAAATCCCTATCCATAGCACGTTCCACTCATGTATGTACATGTTATTTCGCACTCCTGCTGCATCTGTTGACTGTATAACCCAAAATTGTATAGTAATATCGAGACAACTCATTTTTTTATACCTTAATCAAACCGTAACATCTTCATGACACTGGATATAATAGCAAAGGAGAGATTTAATTTTTAATTAAATATTCATAAAGTATGACGTAGTGATTTCTATTATTTCAAATAATAAATCAATAAAAGAAATTTATAGTAAATAATTAGACCAAATTTTTAAATTTTAATGTGGTCAGTTTTATGTATAATCTACTAAGTGTTATTTTAAGTACATCCTTATTAATTTACTTTGTTACACTAAAGCTGATGATAGAAATTTAACTTCAATAATTTGAAATTTTTGTGACACATTAGTTCTGTACTATGCGTACAGAATTTAAAATTAAAATATGTTCTTTGCCTAACATATGTATCATGGGACCTTTTCTCACAGCTATGCCATATCTATCTTTATACATAAAATATTTTTCTTTGAAGTACATATTTGTTACGGCTTCAACTAAACATTTTCAATTGTAATTTTCTTAGCTACATGATAGGAGGAGATGGCAGGGTATATGAGGGAAGGACGTGGAATTATCTACCTTACAGGTCTGCAGAGTATTGCGACCACTTGAGAAAGTCTGTAGTCGACATAGCGTATTTGGGCGACTTCAACAAAGGTTAGTACATTAATGGTATTTCAGGAAGGTTTCACTATGTACAAATGTATTAGGCTCAATAAGAATGGTAGAGTGATGTAAAATGTCAAACATTGCCAAGCTGTAATCGAAATATAAGAAGGAAGATTTTACTCAATTGCATGTCCACCGTGCAATTTAGTTCTTTTGGGAGTGACGTGCTATCAACATTACTAATCCCGAGTCGTGAAATGTATTTGCGGATCTTATAAAGTTTCAGTAAATTTTATTCATTTTTGTACTTTGAATTGATTTAGATGTAATCATACATGTATACATTCAGATAATTATTTGGATAAAGAATTTGACCATACAAATCGTAATAGTGAGTTTGTTGTTGGTATGAGGTTGGAGAAGCGTGCCATTAAATGTTACTTCAGGGGGATAGAGTAACCAAAACCGTCTTTAAAGCGGACCAAAGTGACCAAAAGCCATAGTAACTATGGCTTATGGTCACTTCTAAATTGGTGGACGTAAAATGAAGTATAATTTAATAAATAGGTTTTATTTGGTTACGAACTACTTTTCTGAACTGTTAGAGAGTTAACGTGGTTTTTATATGTGCTTATAATATTTTAAGAAAAAATTGTCTATTATTAGGCCTACGATTCATCCAAATCTACGTTATTAACAAGGTTTGCTTCATAACTGTATCATTCATAACAGTAGATATGTTACAAAATTAATATTCTCTACATCAACAAAATATATTTATCAATATTAAGAGAACAACTGGAACGTTAAACGACAAAGGAATTAACTGTACAAATATTAAGGCAGTTAAGAGTAAGATTTTAGTTTTTGGAACGTGGCGTTAGAATCCAAAATCGAATTCTTACCGGGTTTTCAGAAGCAACGTACTTGATCAAATTTACATTTATATTTGTTTCTTTTCAATAGGTCTATTGATTATTTCTGTTGTTTATCTTATTCCCCACAGTTTTGCAGCATAGACTAATACAAACACAAAGAAAAACATTGTAAATAAAAATAAAACGAACACGAATTATTAAAATTGAATTGGCGAACCTTTGGTAACTAAATCTTTGTGCATACGATTGAAAAAAACTTTCAAACTTAGGTACAATAATTGTATTCTTTTGAAAATTAGATAAGCTTAGTTAACAGGTATATTATAAATAATATTATTGTTCAATTTAATTTATTCTTTTCTAAATAATATAGTTAGTTTATGAGTGAGTAGTATGTAAGTATATATACTACTTACTACTTAATTAATAGTATATAGATAGTTTGTTTATAATATGTTTTGTTTGGACAATTAGTAAAAAAAACTTCTAAAAAGTTTTGTTGTGATAAACTTCAACACCTAATGATACTAAAAGCAATAAATTTATAACCAAAATCTAAATTTTGTTTAAATGTATATTTATACAAGTAGTAAGTACACGATTATTTTTTTCTGTTTTAATTTGTAGCCTATTTAATTTGTATTTGTTTGGTGTATTTCAGTTTCAACTCCTCCAGATGATTATCAAGCAACTTTGAAATTATTTATCAAATATTCTATTGTTGATAAAAATATTAAGCCCGATTATACAGAATATCAAGATTTCTTAGAAGATTCTCAGGAGTAAACGTATGATTTGTTGTACAGACCAAAAAAAATATTTCTTCAATTGTTTTTAATAAACATGTATAAAGCAAAACCCCACAACCACCCTTTCTTAAAACAATAACTTGCAGGTACATATTTTAAGGTTTGTATATTCTTAGAGAATGTCTTTTTCTTCCAACTCGCTGGATGGCTTTGAAATAAAATTGTATTTAAATTTGAAGTCTAAATGTCGTGTTTTTATCTGGTCGTGTGAGGTCTAAACCATCTATTGAGTTTTCTTGGCTTTCTGAAGTAGTCGAACACCTTGTCTTGGTAGTCATATTCAGCGTGGTATTCTGGGTGTATGAAGCCCATCTTTACTCCATATCTTAGCAGCATATTTGCTGTACCACGACAGGCCCACGGCTCCTTGTGTTCTGGAAGATTTAAAACATTCTTTGTTAATTTCAAAACAAAAATACAGAAACATGATAAGGAGACAAAAATATTTGTTTTTAAAATTATTTATGCTACTTTAGTACTATAGCGACCACACCGCGATAAATTGACTTCCAAATAAAGTTTTTATTGGTTTAATTAACAAAATATGCCTTACCTAACCTAAAACATAGTCAACCCTTAGGTTAGGTTAGGTTTAGGTGTGGTCGGTATAATACCAAAGTACCTTATTTATATTGTACTGTATAGCCACTATATTCACTATAACCATATAAATGGGGTTTCCACAAATTAAATAAGTATTATCTGTTACACCCTTAACAAAAAAATTTCCATTAACTGAATATTCCAAATTATTTATTTACAATCTAATATGTTGCACTTAAAACCCCTTTGCTGTAAAACCTCATTGCAAACTATACAATCAAATAACTACTTACAATCACTGGCTATTTTTAGAAAGGGGTTTAGTTGGTTCCTCTCCAAACTACATTGACCAGTTGATAGAGTAAATATTGTATATAGGTTTCAATGAACACATTATTAGCAAGTATTAATATTCTTGTACTTACTGCTGTCGTATTTTCCAATGAATGCAAACTCTAAATAATTGCCCATGAGCTCTGGAGCGAATAACATGTCTCTATGGGGTTCTAACGTCCACCCCCTTCCTTCGTAGACTCGACCATCGGCTCCAATCATAAAACTGCCAATCAGAAATTTGCATTCAGATTAGAAAACAAAACAATTGAAGACATTAGAATAGTGTAGTGTTGCATACACCAGCTGTGATGTTTGCGAATAGGTTAAGTTACATGGGTTTGCCAGATAAAGATGTGTTAGTTACAGATGTTCTTCAAATAATCAAAGTTAGGACTGGTAAGTTATTTATACTAATCAATTTATCAAGCGATTTTCGTGTGCATATTTGATACTGTATAGTATTTAGGCAATATATTTAATCAATACTTAACTTTAATCAAATATTGAACATGATTATTATTGATTACTCCTTGCAAGAAAATTCTTCAAAAGCTTTTCAAATTGTAGCAGTTGTTCAATTCACAATAACAAATAGTTTAATTTTTTACTTCAAATGGAAGAAATAAATTAAAATCTGTTCTGTTATGAAATAAATTAACAAAAGCTTCGAGTTTAGTTTGATTTCACTTCACATTTTTACATTGTGTAAAGAGTTTGTAAAGGGTAGCTACAACTCTCTCCACTAACAAAGTCTTATATTAAATATTACTTTTTATAAATTTAGTGGGGTTTTATAAAACAAGTTGTAGTAGAATAGTAAACTCATACTCCAATCTCAACTGTTTACGTTACACAATTTGCCCCAAATTCACATTTTACAAAATAGTCTTACTAATAACTTTTTTTTAATAAGACCAATTAGTTGATAACCCATGTTCTTGTTATTTTCAAACACAATTTCAGGATAATTTTTGTTTAACACACGATTTATTCCTTATTAAATAAACTCAAATGTTTCTCAAAAAGAGGAACCATCAAATGTTATTAATCCAAAATAGGTAGATTTCACTTACCTCAAACTTAAGTGTATTCTTTCTCTTACAAATAACTAAAAAACAACTAAATTTACATCCAACTCACTTAAAAGGAACATCGTCGATCCCTTTCTGCCTCTTCGTCACAGTTCTGATCTTCTTGAGTGCCTTGCAGCATTTGTCGAATGTTTTGCAAGGTTGTCCACCTGTTATTGTTATGCGCACCAGAGTTGCAGGGGTTGGTAGTACTGGAGTCTCTGGTATGGGAGGTGCCTGCCAGGCCCATCTGGGGATCATCTCCATACCTTCATCCCCCACCACTTGGCTGTACTTACAGGGGCTGAAATATGAATAAAATCGTGTTTAGATTTTCTTTAGATATACTGTAGGGGTGGACTCAGTGATCCTAGTTTTATTCATTGTATTTTTGAAAACATGAGACGTGGTCGCTGCCCCCATCTGGTTCACACTAATGATGATTAAAATCACCTTCAGTCGTTTGAATAAATTTAGGTAGTTTTTCAGGATATTTTTCGTTTGAGGATATTTCTTTGGACCTAGGTTTCAGGATATGTTTGTCCTATCATCAAGCAAACAGTGTAGTCAGCGCATTGGAAGTTGTTGTGTAAAAACTACATATACGTCACAAGCTACAGACACGAGTCATGGGAACAAGCAAATTATAAATAAGAGCTAAGACTCGGATATAATTTACATTTGCGTTTATAGGTGAGCATAAATTTATATGAATATCGATCGGTGATTGTCCATTTTTTTGTGTTTGAATTTCATTCTTATTACATTAAGACTATATGAAATTTCGGCCCAATATTCTAATATAGGTCACAAAAACACAGAGTTGTTTTACTGCTTCACTGAAACTAATAAAACGTTAATAAAACTAATAAAAAGTTCTTTCACTTAAAAGACCAGATCATCCTTTAATGGGCCTACAGCTCAAGGTGGGATCTGAACCACTGGACCACGGCATCATCCTGGCATCTGCCAGACATTAGCTTAATATTTACTAGTCATTAGCTAGATGTTTAATAGACATTATGTAGACACTAGCCAGACATTGCTAAACATTAGCTGGACATTTGCTAGACATGTGCTAGACATTAGCTAGTTATTACCTAGGCATTAGCTATACACTATCTAAGCATTAGCTATACATTAGCTAGACATTAACTTGGCATTAGCTGGACCTTTGTTAAGCATTAACTAGACATTAGCCAGAGATTGCTAGATATAAGCTAGAAGTTTGCTAGACATGTGCTAGACATGAGCTAGTTATTATCGAGGCATCAGCTAGACATGATCTAGGCGTTAGATATTACCTAGAAATTATCTTGGTATCAGCTGGACATTTGTTAAGCACTAGTTAACCGCCCGTGCTCCACCACGGGAATATTGTCGGCAATAAAATAAATAATAATTAACAAATACTGTTTATGTTTGTATTTTATTTAGGGGTTGTTTAATTTTTTACATGAAATAGAACTGAAAGTTTGCCTGTATAAAATATTTTATGTTAATCAAACCGATATATTATTTTAACCAAATGAATGTTTTATATTAATTCGAGTTTCATTTGAAAAATAAATAGTATACGAACTGGGCAATGCTGATAACCTAATAAGCAGCTATTTATGATATTTAGATAATTTGCTCAAGTATATTCCTATATTCGTCGTTTTTTTTTCATTACATTTGTTGTATGGAATAAAGATAGTCACTTAGCCTACATGTAAATCACGCATCAGCAGTTGGTCGCATTTCACGAATCTTTTACCTATACTGTGAGTAAAAGCTGTGTTTACGTCGTATATATAAAGTTGGGCTTACTTTGTTCAATGTTAGAGGGTATTAACGGTCCAATTTGATGGAAAAGGAGTCGTGGATTTTAAAACTATGTAGACTACCACTACCAGAAATATGTTGATTCAAGTGAGACTTAGAACTGGCCATTTCCAATGCAGATTTGTATTATATTTTACTCTTAACTCTTAACTCTCTTGTTTTTTGTCTCTTGACCCTTAATACTTTTTTTATAGTCGCTGTTGATAAGATTTTCCATAAACTCAAAATGTTGATAAGGAGTTCATTTTACCTTACCCTTGTGACAACATAAGGAAAAAATAATTGTGTCCCAGTTAGTCTGTTCTGACTCAAAATTCATAGATTTGCAGTACTGACAAATCCAATCTAACGACCCCAATTCAAAAGAGTTGGTATTTTTTTTTTTGTTGGACTTCCAGAGCACATTTAACACAATCACTGCTCTTTACCTTTATAGTTCGATGGTTCTCTACATGTTTTTTTCGTTCTGTATGTCTCTTTACGCCCGGTTAATGATTACCTTTTCTTTTTCTTTTTGTACTTTTCACATCATGGGGTAAATGATAAAGTTTTATAACGCTATAATGACCCGAGTCAACATTGCCATTAAACATCAAGTCAGATACTTCTTCGCCAGAACCGAAATCGTAAGTCACAGTTTCTCAAGCAACTTCCCTGTGTAGGCCTACTCGAACAGATATAGTTAGGGTATAGTTCACTGATAAATTGTAGTTCCAAATATCCCAGCGTACTCGCCATCTCGAGAAGGTAAAATTTGGACGTCGAACACTGATCTTGAGTAAGATTAATCACTTACGATAAAATGTTTGTATGTTTACCAATCTTAGCAATTATCTATACAACTTGCAAACGGATTTCCCTCTGATTGTTCTGGTGGCTATAGAGAATAAATTATATTGATCAAAACAATAAGTTTCCGTCCCCTACTATGGGTATTATTTCACATTCAATACTCAAACTTAAACTCAATTACCACTTTCCTTCAGATCACTTTGCAGGAAAACTTAAACATTTTTGTGTCCCAGTTAGTCTGTTCTGACTCGAAATTCATAGATTTGAAGTACTGACAAATCCAATCTAACGACCCCAATTCAAAAGAGTTGGTATTTTTTTTTTTTGGACTTCCAGAGCACATTTAACACCATCACTGCTCTTTACCTTTTTAGTTCGATGGTTCTCTACATGTTTTTTTTCGTTCTGTATGTATCTTTACGCCCGGTTAATGATTACCTTTTATTTTTATTTTTGTACTTCTCTCACCCTGGGGTTAATTATAAAGTTTTATAACGCTATAATGACCCGAGTCAACATTGCCATTAAACATCAAGTCACATACTTCTTCTCCAGAACCAACTGGTAAGTCACAGTTTCTCAAGCAACATCCCTGTGTACTTAAAAAAAAATTCACTGATATATTGTAGTTCCACGTATCCCAGCGTACTGGCCATCTCGAGAAGGTATAGTTTGGTACCACTGAACGTCTAACACTGATCTTGAGTAAGATTCGTCACCTACTATAAAATGTTTGTATGTTTCCCACTCATTAGCAATTATATGTACAACTTGCAAGCGGATTTCCCCATGATTATTCTGGTGGCCGTAGAGAATAAATTATATTGATCAAAACAATAAGTTTCCGTTCCCTACTATGGGTATTATTTCACATTCCATACTCAAACTTAAACTCAATTACCACTTTCCTTCAGATCACTTTGTAGGACAACTAAAACATTTCAAAAATAAGTTAACAAATACACTTTCCTTGATCAAAATCGTGTGTTTATAAACAGAAACTCCAAGTTTAATAATTGCATACCACGATTACTTTGCATACTGAAAGTGAGGTTATAAAAATAATAACAAATGTCTGACAAACATTAAACAGCTGACGAATAATTTATAAACTGTGTATTATATTCTTCAATAAGAATTGTATTGACTCGACCTTTAAAGGGCTGTAGGTCGTAGCCCTTAGAAAAAACGTAAATTCTAAGGAAGTTCGGCAAATCTACACACTATCCCCTTTAATTTGAGACATAAATCTTGTAGATCGGTCCAGTAATTACTGAGAAAACAGTGTTACAACTGTGTATTAAATACAGGGTGAGTTTTAATTGTCCCCCCCCCCCAACTTTTTTCTACATTTGTTCAAATATCAATCCCAGACCACTTCCAAACATTGTTGGGTAGTAAGTACTTCATTTTGACAAGGTGGTCATTTCCGGCCGCCATCTTGGATCCGCCATATTGGATGCAAAATATTTTTTTCAAATGTAAAGGTGGGGTTGTGACCCATCATTTCGAACTAGATTTTTACCCTGATTACAATGCCGCAAACAGTTTTTAAAAATCTAGATTCATTCTAAAGTTATGAGGCCTTTTTAAAACTTTATTTTTAGCCCATTTTAACATTGTGCATGTACAAACTAAGACCATAATCTCAAAATAGTGCTAGATAAAGATAAGTATACACTACCAGTCATTGCCAACCTATTTCCACTTGGTTATGAATGATGTATTTTTTTCGGCCGCCATCTTGGATCCGCCATTTTGAAATGTGATAAATTATTTTTAATATAAAAGGGGTGTTGTGACCCATCATTTCGGATTACTTTTTTAAGCTGAACTCAATTCCATGGTCCATTTTTTATTTTAATATTTTAATTTTGAAATATTAACGTTTTTAACAACAATATTGCAATAATTCATAAATAAAACTGGATAACAAAAAATGGATTGCGGCATTGTGTTTAGCTTAAAAAAGTAGTTCTAAATGATGGGTCACAACACACCCTTCATATTTAAAATAATTTATCCCATTTCAAAATGGCGGATCCAAGATGGCGGTCGAAAAAAATACATCATTCATAACCAAGTGGAAATAGGTTGGCAATGACTGGTAGTGTATACTTATCTTTATCTAGCACTATTTTGAGATTATGGTCTTAGTTTGTACAAGCACAATGTTAAAATGGGCTAAAAATAAAGTTTTAAAAAGGCCTCATAACTTTAGAATGAATCAAGATTTTTAAAAACGGTTTGCGGCATTGTAATCAGGGTAAAAATCTAGTTCGAAATAATGGGTCACAACCCCACCTTTACATTTTAAAAAAATATTTTGCATCCAATATGGCGGATCCAAGATGGCGGCCGGAAATGACCACCTTGTCAAAATGAAGTACTTACTACCCAACAATGTTTGGAAGTGGTCTGGGATTGATATTTGAAAAAATGTAGAAAAAATTTGGGGGGGGGGACAATTAAAACTCACCCTGTATATAGATTATGCCAGTAGAATATTATTGCCCATAGGCTTTATGACTGTGGGACGGATCCTAATAAAGAATTAAATTTTCATACCTGGATACATTGACTTTTACTAATCTAAATTGTTAATGTACTTTTACCAGTACAAAACGTTGTTGTAAGGGAGTTATGTTTATCAGACAGCATTCTAAACGTGTTGAATTTTCTATAAATTTCTATAGATTTATGCCCCAGTTTTAAATGTAACTATTTTGCACTAAAAACTATAAAATAAATATAAAACTGTGCCCTTTTTTTAAAGAACATTATGATAGTTTGATTGAATTTGAACTAATCATCATTAAATTGTACTACTAAACTTGGATACACGAACAACGTAAAATAATTCAATATCACATTTAATTTGTTATAGATTATTGTTTATATGGTACATTTTCATAATGATGCAGACTTACCCATCTTTTTCTTCTGGTTGTTGGACGTAGGTAACTGTCAATAACTTTCTGTCACTGAAATAAATAATTCAGCAATAACAAAACTGTTCTTTAATTTTACCTCTGCTATATTTAAAAAAAACAAGCGTTCGTGTAAAATTTCTTTATGATACTCTATGTTCTCTATTTACTCATCCATTTTTCGATCATATTTTATCCTTTCTGCACAGCCATCAATACCGGCTATAAAGTAAGGGTAAACTTAATTCTCTAGAACAAATATTTTGAAAATAAACTGAAGCTACACATGAAATGATTACCAAACTGATAAATACAATATTTGTGCATGATGATAAATTTTTATAATTCGTCCAAAGGTACAAGTTTATTGATATTTCATCCTAATAACAACATATAATTTTGGAATAATAATCGAAATCCAAACTTTTTGATAGATATTCTCTTAAATAAATAAAGACAATACTAATTTTGTTTTCAATGTTAAACATAGGAAAGAAAGTCTCTCATACCATTTAGATGATTCTGTTCCTAAATAGCACGTCATGGTAGCTAATGTAATCCCCTGTGTAAAATTAGATACTTATTGAATAAAATCATTCCTTCAAATCAATTCACATATACATTTACATTTTAGTTAGGTTAAGAACCACTGAAGTTACTCACTTATTTAAAAATAAGAGATAACTTATCTTCAAAAGTGGTTGTATTATACTATCAGAATATCCATGAGATAGTATAATTATTACCAACTCAGTAAATGTATAAAAAACCTATTTGGTTATCGAGTAGTGTCGTGTCATTAGTGTTACGGTTACCTTTGACTATTCCAATTGTCAATGGTGTTGCGTTACCAATAGAATAAATACTTCTATTCCTTAACCCTAGTCATTTTTGATTGGTGAATTGCAGATGTTATTAGTGACTAGTACTTAGTAGTCCTGAGTATTTAGTTTAACAGTGGGGAAGGATTTGGTTTAATGGTAGAGCGAGGAGCTTCGGAGCCTGAGTGTCTGGGTTCAAATCCAGCCAATCACCAATGAATGTTATTCATGTTATAGTGCCCCAATTCTCTAGGACTAGCCCAAAGTAATGTTTAAACCCGGTTTGGGCTAGAACCTAGCGTGCTAGAAGTTAAAAATGGGACATAAGTAAAAGAAGTAAAAAATAATAACAAAGAAGGTATTTAGTTATATATTAAACTACACTAAGAGTACACTTAAAAGACACGTTTGGTAAATAAAAAAGAAAAAAGATAATACCATGTAAAATTTGAAATAATAGTAAGTAACCGTATTTTTTATCAAAGTATCAGTACTCCAATCTGAATTAATTAAATAATAAAAAAAACTGCGTTTAGTTAAATCCAGCTTTTGCACAACAAGTACAACCTAGGCCTACTATAGGGGAGAGTAGTGCTGGATGAGTATTACAATTAGAAAACTTTATTGTTTGAAAAGCCTTTGTAAAAAATACCTTTAGTCAAATATCTCAAACACAAACATAGGAAGACGAATCCAATTTCCTGCCGAGTTTCCTACACCAAAGTCCATGTCTCTGGCCTCATGTAAGGACAGTAGAAACTTGATAACAATTATCTTGAGGCAATTTTAAACTAAGATTTGCTATCAAGGTTAAATCCTCATCAAATTTTGTAAGACATGTAATTAAGAGTGGTATAAATTCAAGGCTATTTTAAAACGAAACTTGTTATTGAGGATTTTTAACACTATACTGAGAATGTCCAGTCGGGATGTGCCTATATAAATAAATGATACGTATTTACCATTAAATTAACACCTACTCATTTTCATATAAGTATATATGTTAATTCATTGAATAAACGAAAAATAAACTTAAAAACCAATAGTAAGAGTCGAAATATAATTAAAACATTTTACATGACCGATTACAAATTGAAAAATTCTCAATAACTCGTTCATGATTTTATGATCTTATATTTATTAAAAGAAGTTCTCACACAGGAAATTATCTACAACATAAAGTACATTTAGATTTTAAGTGAAATAGCTGTAGTATTCAAGAGGCTTTCTTGGATTTTCTATAGCTCTTCTTTCATCCGCTCTTCGTTTTTCAGCGGCAATTTTTTCCTCAAAAGATTGTTCTACAATTACGTTCTCTCCAGATCCTCCCAAATGCGCGTATCTTGTTATCAACTCATAATCAGCTTTTAAAAACTCTAATTCAACTCCAAGCTTGAGGAAAGCTTGACATGTTCTCAGCATAAGTGGAGGAGGGGGCTCCCCTGAAACGTGTACGATAAAATAGTTATAAAATAAATTGTGATTGATCTGATCAAGAAGTATTTAATTCATTGAAAATAGTAAGTGTTTAGTGTATCATTTATTGGATCGTAGCCCATGGGGCTGATGAGTAAAATTTTAGTAAATTCTTGAATATACAAATTAAAATGAGTCATGTGTGTTAAATTTTCATACATCATCGTTTTGGATTTAAGGTATAAAATAAACAAAATACACAAAATCCATTTAAGAACAAATTAGAATTTATGAACAGTCGGCTAGTGAAGGGTTTTAAAATAGTTTACGGTACCTGCTTAGCAGTAATAATTTTTTGCTGTTTTGAAACTAGTTTTGGTTATTTTGAACCATAACCATTCCCAACGCTGTCAGGTGATAGCTTCACTTGAAGAACGTTAATAGAGTTCATTAAATAAAACATGCACGAGACACGAACGAGACTCGAAAACATAAGATAAACAAACGGCTACAATAAACACAAAACACAAGAAGGAACAATGACAAAAACTAACGTGACCGTGCTGAAGTTAAGTTTTGCCAAAACTTTCAACCTGAAAGTACAGAAAATTCGTCAAATAACACTTGTAATAATATTTACACTTACTTTGACCTACCAGACGGCAAATACATGTAAAATATGGTAAGTATGTATCAATTTCTATTGTACAATCCAATTATCATCGGACCCAATAGACAAATCTGATGTTGGTCGGTATGGAGTGTCCAACCGAAATCGATCACAACTTACCATCTTTTATATGTATTTACCGTCTTGTGAGTAAACAGTATATACGTATAAATATGCTATTACAAGTGTTATTTGACATTTTTTGTACTTTCGGGCTTTTAATTAACACTTACAATCCTAATCAAGAAGTAATCCAATTTTTATAGTCTAGTTTAGACCTGTATTGAGATTGAATGTAAACATTTAAACAATACGCTGTCAATATTTAAAAAGTTTATGATTACTTAAAAACGTTTCTGATTTTACAAACATGTCTTCTTAAGCACCTTGTAACATTTGTATTGAACCAATGTTGTTTTTGGTGTGTATGACTATAGCGTGAATAAATTTGTTCTATTAAAACCAAACACATTTAATAACAGTCATATTACACTTGGTTTGCTACAACTATAGTATTTACTACTGTATTATTTTAAAAAAAATGTAAACACAACTTTTGTATTTGATACGGTACAAAAGAAAAATACTCAGAATGTGAGAAACTAGTTAAAATAGCTGGTAAATCAATATAAGTTTCGTCCTTGTATAATGTTTATAAAGTGATAAATTTAAGACCCATAATTGATACTCACATTTATATCTACCGATGAATGCAACCTCCAGACAGTCGTCTCCTATGTGGTCCAACCTTTCATCCCTCTCGGCTTGTTTTTCCCATCCCCGACCTTCGTAGACTCTACCGTCCGGGCCTATCAGGAAACTGCGAAATGTTAAATCACCCTCCAGAGAAAGAGGAACTGATAGGCACAAGTTATTATGGATCAACTTATTATTAGTAAGAAAAAACTGTCTTAACTTGTGCTAGAGTACCATTTGACCGTCATATTAACACGAACAGAACTGAAAAAAGTTCAAAAGTAAGTTGGTGATCCTAAATTACCGTATACGAATTTTCATTGAGGGTACAAAAATCTACACTCTATTATTAGTATTTTTATAACCATTTTTTTTGTCGATTTTTTGTTGTAAAATATGTAAATTTTGGTATTTGTTTTACCACAGCCAAATAAGATATTTTAAGGTTGCCAAGCTATATTTGAAAAGTGTTTTTGTAAAAATCTATGATTTTTTTGTTCCTCATTAATAATTAAGTATTATCAATTTAAAAATTGTATTAGTCACTATTATAAATCTAATATATAAAATTCTCGTGTCACAGTGTTTGTCTGCAAACTCCTCCGGAACGACTTCACCGATCGTTATGAAATTTGCTGTGTAAATTCTGTAGGTATGCGAATCGGACGTAAACTATTTCCCGTTTCGAAATTCTTAAAAGGGCTCCGCCCCAGTGGCTCTGGAGTTTCCCATGTTAACCTTATGAGAAATGGAATTAATGAATCTTAACAGCTGTTTCAATTAAACAAGTTGGTTCTGTTCTACGATGTTCAATAGCATTAAAGTTACAAGGATTACCAACAGGGTGCAGCACTATTATTTCTTTTACATTTATGACAACAGCTAATTTGCAACCAAAAGGTGAGTGAGCGTAGCGAACGAACTTCAACCTGGAGGCGAATTAGCGTAGCGAACGAGCTAACCTGAAGGCAAGTGAGCGCAGCGAACGAGCTCCAACCTAAATGTGAGTGAGCGTAGCGAACGAGCTCCAAGCCAAAGGTGAGTGAGCGTAGCGAACGAACTTCAACCAGGACGTGATTGAGCGATGCGAACGAGATCATCTTGATTCAACCTGGAGGCGAGTTAGCGTAGCGAACGAGCTAACCTGAAGGCAAGTGAGCGCAGCGCACGAGCTCCAACCTAAAGGTGAGTGAGCGTAGCGAACGAACTTCAACCTGGAGGCGAGTTAGCGTAGCGAACGAGCTAACCTGAAGGCAAGTGAGCGCAGCGAACGAGCTCCAACCTAAAGGTGAGTGAGCGTAGCGAACGAGCTCCAACCCAAAGGTGAGTGAGCGTAGCGAACGAACTTCAACCAGGACGTGATTGAGCGATGCGAACGAGATCATCTTACAAATTAAACGTAACGGTACTTTCTTTCCATCGGTCTGTCTTAGGGGAAACCTATAACTTAGGCGATACGAAGTTCGCCGGGTCAGCTAGTTTTTATATAAAAAATATGAAAGAGACAATATTTATACGTTAAATACAAAAAGTGGTGATATATAAGTAGTGGTTTTAATCATTTACGTTTTGTATGTAGCAGTTTTTAATATAAGTTTTGACTATTGTACGTTTAGTGTACTAAGTATCAAACTGTAAAATAATCACCCATTGTATTTTCTAGATTCTGGTTTATTCATTGCTGTCATACACAGGCCCTCATGATGGCTGTCACATACAATATAGTCGTTTAACTATAATCATGGTGCTAATGCAACTCAGCTATAGTATAATCACTAACAGAAGTGACTTAATTGGTGCAATCACATGTTCTAATCGTGTAATACAGCATGTACTTGACAGGGCTTTACACTATAATTAATTGGTCAATTCTAGGCCAACAAGGTATTTAATTATCAGATAATTTTCATGTATTTCATTGACTGTGAGAGTTACTCGAAATTATAATTAGTGTATATTACATAATTTAATTGGATAAATCTAAACTGAAATATATTTTATTTTTAAATCGATTATTATTTTTGTTTTTTTGTATAGGTAAAAATAGAGTGAGCGTTTTCATTAAAATGAATACAACATTCACGTTTACTTCAACATTTATAAATACAAGGAAGCAAACTTGTCTGGTAGAGCCCGAGGTCTTGGGTTCAAATCATATATTCAAATATTGCCATGTTAAAATAGTTCCGGGCTAAAACACAGCTTTCTAGGATGTGAAGGTGGGGAAAAAAAGATGCAATACGATATTTTTTTCCAAACGATGAAAAAGTGTACGTATTCTATGTATTGCATGATTTTCCGTTTATATGCAACTCGAGCCTTTGCATGAGGGGAAAGCAAGGATTTAGCCTTTACATACAAGCAGTAACAATAAATATTAATTGTGAATAAATTAATTTGCAGGACCTTAACCCACATCATTACTCTCTGGGATTTGAGGACTTCCACGTTTACATATGAACTACAGATTCATACGTTGAATCAACACAAAACATCATAGATTTTCCACCCCTTAAACTCTTACTGGTCTTAGATTTTTGACGAGATACAATTTTTCTTTTTGGGGGGGAGGGAGTTAAAAATGCATACACATACTGAGATGCTCAACGTCCTCTCAGTAGTGCCGGACTCCCGCGGGCTCAATGTCCCCGGACTAACAATTAAAAAACCCTCATTTCCTAGGACACCCCACAAACGCTTATAGGTCTTAGATTTGGTAAACGTTTATATAATATATATAAAGTACTTGCTTGAAGGCGATATCCTGAAGGCCGTGGTGGAACATATGATTGACTTGTATCCTTGCCACTCGTATCTTACATGTCCTCAGGTCGTTACACGCATTTGCCCCCGTGTGAGTCAGCCGTACTTTAGGTATTGGAGTGTCCAAGGGCTCAATCCCCTCTACGATCTCTGTATCAAACGCACCCCAGTGGTTGCGATGAACAAACTCTTGGCCGTTGGGTAGGATTTCAGGTGACTAAAATAAAATATAAAATCGTTATAAATGAGTATTTGTTTTTAATCCATACATTTTTGTAGGCCCTTGATAATATGTCATTAGGGATATGTACTGGAAAGGTTTACGGTAATTCGATTGTAAGAACTAAGTGCGTAATGAGTTCATTAGGATAAGTAGAATGAAAGAAATAAAAATATAAGGTGAAAGAGTAGAAGAGGTAAGTGAAGAATTAATAAGCGCATAGTCTTTTTATGGAGCAAAGTCTTTGGAAAGAATCCTGTAGGTGTACATTTTAGCAATTTTATGTTCACAAAAAGCAGTTATTTAGTTCCTAGCTTGTGAGTACGCAGGTACTCTCCTATTTACATTATTATCAATATGATATTGATTAGACTTTAATTGGAGGTCTTTCCCCATGATTCTAGAACTTAGTAGCACATACACAATTTTTTTATAACTATCTAACTTATTTGTATGGATGTAAGTTTATTATTTCATTTATAAGGTTTAATATTAGATTATTAAATTTTATTAATAAAGTTTATTAATGTTAGTATATATTTATAATTAGGTTTCTACTTAGATTTTTGTGTATACATTAAATTTACATCACCTTATCATTTTCTGGCGATTCTGCAGGGCCGTACGCTTCGGTGAATTGATTTCTCAAGTGTTGAAAATCATCCTTAAATTTATCAGCAATCTCCATATTCGTTAAGTCTAGAATAAGAACAATGAAATATGTTTTGTTCCGAAGGAATATACACTAGTACGAAGTTTCATAACATTATGGATAATAACTTTCACTAGATAACTGATAAGAATTACAAAATGAGAAGGGCTATCAGATATGGTTGACAATCTAGCCGGAAAAGATTAATTTCTATTAGTTTCTTATACGATACTTAAGTTATTATTTTGTAGAGTGTGATTTAATGTACGGAGAACATTATTAATTAGGTCTAGTTTATGCAAGTATTTGGCGTTATATTTATGCAAGTGTATTTTATTTCGTTATATTGATTTTTTTCAGTTATTTATACTTTTGCTAATTAGTTGTATTATTTAGGATATGAAGTGATGAGATAAATAATTATCAGGACTCTCATACAACGGAATGTACTATTATGGAAGAATAATAGTAGGTGTATTTTAGCAACATGACTAATATACTAGCTAACTATTACTAAATTGTTAAAAATACCGATAAAAATTATAAAACCACTTTTGTCGTTTAAAAGATGCTAGTTGGTTTATCTTTGCCTAGGTACGAACAGTTTTCATAAATTAACTTTAAATTATTAATTTGATGTTTTCCGGAGTTGTTTACTTCATACTGTATAAATTTTACACGATTATAAAATGGAAAAAATCTAAGCCAAAAAACTTATAATTTAGTTGATCAAATCAAACTTGAATGTCTTTACAATTACTTATACAAAATATGTGTATTTTTTCTTATGACGCTAAACCGCAGGATCGTTTTCATATCACTTAAGGCTAGACATATAAGTTGCGGCATTATCTCATAGCTAAAATCCATTGGTGATTTGATGGGATATTAGCCCAGGACGTCAGGGACTGAATCCCGTGCCCTACCACTAGACCAGCTCGCTCCCCACATATACAATATATTAGTGGTTAGGTAATTGGTCGGAAAACTTTAACGTTCTTTGCAACAAATGTCTTAGTATTGCTAGAGTTATTTCCAAATTTATTTGAGCTCATAATCTAAGTGACTGTTTCTATTTTGCCCTCTATTTTAAGGCGTAGCAGTTAATTTATCCGTGTACCAACAAACTGCAAAAACGACGATACGATCACAAAAATACCTAAGAGCTTCATAAAAATAAGTACATAAATACCTACATAAGAGTTATTAGGGGAAGACTACATACTTGTTATAACGTGACTAAGTGATTCAAAATCTGAACTTTGAGAAAAGTTTAAAGAATCTCCATATAAAAATCTACGAATTTATGACTAACCTTTTTAGTACGACAAAAACGGTCATAAGGTTAGATTCTCCAAGTTCTAGGCTCGATGAGAATATACACTTAAAAAAAGTAATTATTCACTTTCCAAGGCTGAATAATATGGACTAACTGAGTAATTGTGATACATAGAGACGATTCCTCGATATAGTTAAGGAGGGAAGAACTCTGTTCAATTTGTCTGGGACGACAGGCTTGAGTTTACACAACCTCTTAACAGAGTCGAATGTCGTTTATCTTTAAAACTTTTCCTAAGAACTTCTTTCGAAAATTAGATGTTCCGTAGCCAACAAATGTTAAACATCTCATTTCATAGTTGACAAATGAGAAAGACAATATTCCACTTGACTTGTTCCCTTTACTTAGGCAAAGAAGAATATGTTTTAAGTTTTTGATTTTGTTTGAGAATAGATTGAGTTTCGGTGCTTTTGACTAATAAATAAGTTTGTAATCTTAAAATGAATTTAAAAATGAATACGTCTAAAAATATAAAAATCTTGCAAAAAATCTAAAATTCCAAATTAACAACTTAATTTTCGTTATATCTCTGTACTGCTTTACGTTGATATAATTCATAACAATATTAATTTATCTATTTGTTATCATATTAACTACTGTGAAACAAAAACAGTTGTTCAAGGATTTTGCCGATGTATTTTATTGCGTTGCACATTAGGTAAAGTAAAATCGGTATTAAATTCTACTAAGATGCTTAAAATATTTAAATACGATAAGGAATGTCCTTAAACAGTTTAACTACATTTTATATACTTTTTACTTTGTTTATTTGTTTGTTGTTGTATTTTTGATTTGTTTTGAAATATTTTTTTCTACTGATTCCATAATAGTATGTTAATTGTATACTGCTTTCATATTAAAATTAATTTTGAATGTATAATTGTTTAAAATGTCTCTTTGCTAAAAGTCTAGTAGGTACTTTGTTTAGTGGCTATTGGTTTTTGGAATATAGTAAACATACAACGTAAATATATATTATTATATATTGGCCTTGTTGAACTTTTAAATTTAATTATATATTTCATTATTAACTGTCAATATCACCAATATAAGTTATACAATGTAAACATAAAACATAAATAACAATCTACTGCAAAAGTAGACACTGCAAGGAAAAAAGGTCACTAAGCTACAAGAAATACCACTTCATAATTTTATTAAATACTGTGTAATTATTGTACATGTTAAACGTATTTTTCTATGTATTGTTTTAAGGATTCGGGTAATTAGTAGTTCTTAGTGCTGATGATTTAATTAGTATAACATGAATAATATAGTATTTAAAAGAAAAATATGTTTATATGGACTCTTCATCTTCATCATTAGTTTCCCATTCACCTTCTAACTCACTTCCAAGGTTACTCTCCACGTTTTCATCCTGTTTTGTCTTATTTTTATTTTTAAGTTTCCTTTTCGTTTCTTCTTTAACTATCGCTTCCTCCCTGTATCCTAATAGTACATGTCTTTTTTCGATGTAGTTTGACGCGACTCCATATTTTTTAAGGTCACCGACCGCTTTGATAGCCTTATCAGGAACTGGATTTTCTATAACAGATATTGGAACACCATTAACTGAACGGGTTATGGCAATAGCTAGAAAAGTACTTAAATATTCATTTAAACTCGATAAAAATATTCACACAAAAGTATAATATTTAAACAAATAGTGTACGGATTGTCTAATTTAGCTATCACACTCAAATGTTAAGCTAAAAACTCGATGCTATAATATTTTTTTATACAAGAACCCAGAACTTCACTGAATTCACAGAAATTATTGGTAGAGGGCATGTTACTGTGACTTCTACTGTCATAAATTTAATAGTTTAGTTTTTACTTCACCATAAAATCCTAAGGTAAAATTTATAGTAAATATATGATACTGGTGTAGATTTAACTTTTACCATTTTGTACGTACACGTTGTCTTTTTTACTGAGTTTTTTTATGATAACGATACTTACGCATAATTCAACAAGTTGAGAAATTTTGGAAGAAATTCAATTTGGAAAATCAAGTGCTATATTTAATATCTTTAACAGCCATAAAATTTTCTATTAATATTATACGTAACCACCTATATAACAATTATCATAATTGGGGTTAAACCAACTTGCAAACTTTAATGTAATATTATTCTTTGTTCTGCAGCAGAATACAATGTGTAGTAAGATATCAATTTTTAAAATAAATTTGAATTTATATGTTCCCAAAATGTTATTATTAATTATTATTCAAAACTCTCTTAAATGGAATCATTCCCGATCTTCTAAGTTAACAGAGTTATTGAAAGGAAATCTTTATGTATTTAATTATTTAAAGTATTTTGACAAAATAGCGTCATTTTAACTGGACTGCATGCATGGACGAACATATGTGAATCGTAACATGTTCATAAATAGCGAGATTTGCCTTTAACATAATATTTAAAAAACTGCTTTGCTTAGTATGGTTCCACATATAAACAAATGAAAATCAATTAACCTTGACCATGATTACTTTACTTAACCTCTTTTTACCGTAATTTCAAATTCATATTTTTCTAATTTCGACATCATAAGATGTTGGATTGCCCCTGAACTGGTTATAATAACTAATATAATGGTTTAAATACCTTCAGTCACCAGTTCAAATTAGTCGGCTATTGCGACCTAGGTTTCGGCACGAAGTTGTACCATCATCAGGCGGGCCAGTTTTGAGTCTTCAGTCCAATGGACGTCGTTGAGTTAAAACAAATAAACAGTTCACGACATACAGTACAAACACGCACACGAACACATATAACGAATAATACCGGTATTTACAGAAGGACGACATTATTGTAAGTTCACCGGCCGCGACGGGTGACATCCAAGCCACAACTAACTGGAACGTTCAGGTGGTCTATCTGACCTTTGTCCTCGGTATTGTTTTGAGCCATGTCTAGTAGGATGCGTTAGTGTTGCTTGGGTTTCAATTATTTTGTTAAAAATTAAATTGGAGCTGTGGTGGATTTGGTCGTTTAGTAGGTTGTCGGCATCTACTTTTAACGATTTGTAGATATGGAACTCTTCTAACGTGTCCAATAAAAATCCTTTCTTACAATAGCTGAGAATGGAAACGTTCTCATCTAATTTTCCCATTCTATGGTCATTCTCAATTATATGTTGGGCGAATGTGGATTTTTGTTGGGTGAAACGAGGGTTTGGTTTATGTTCTTTTAACCTGGTTGCAAATGATCGACCTGTTTGGCCGATATAATAACTTTCGCAATCACCACATTTTAACTTATACACCCCAGTTTTAGTCAGTTTCTCATTCTCGCTAGGAGGTTTATTCGCAGTTATAAGGCGTTCTAATTTATTTGAAGTTCTAGGGGCGGGTAGAAGATTGTGTGGTTTTAATTCCTTATTTAATAGGTTGTGTAATCGGTGGCCATATTCGATCGGAATGTATTTAAGGGGCTGTTGGTTCGGGTTTAGATGTTTGTTTTTGTTTTTATTTCGTTGTTTTTTAATCAGCCTATCAACCATCTTACTTTCATATCCATTGGATGTCGCAATATATTTTATAGTGTTTAATTCTTTCTCGTAGTTTGTAGGTGATAATGGCACTGTTAAAAGGCGATGAACCATGCTGTTATAAGCAGCTGTTTTGTGGCTTTGGGGATGGTATGAGGAAGCATGTATCGTCTGGGAGGTTGTGGTGGGCTTTCTAAATATGTCAAATTCAAAGCTGTTATTATTTTTCTTTATGGTGAGGTCGAGGAAGTTTATTTGATTGTTACTTTCTATTTCAAGTGTGAATTGTAACTTCGGGGCTATACTGTTAAGGTAGTTATTTAAGATCTGGAGCTGCCGGGTGTTTCCATCAAACAACACCAATGTGTCGTCAACATATCTATGATAGAAAACTATTTTACTTAGGTGGTTGTTGTTTTGGGAAAAGATCTCTGTGTTTTCGATGTGGTTGAGGTAGATTTCAGCCAAGATGCCGGATAACGGTGATCCCATAGCTAACCCTTCACTTTGTACATATGGTTTTCCGTTGAATGTGAAATAGTTTTGTTGCAGTGTTATCTCAAGTAGAGTTATCAGTTCATCGATGGCTTCGGGTTGTAAAGTTGCATTTCTCATTAAATTTTCTTTGACGATTTTTATAGTTTCTTTGACTGGGACATTGGTGTACAGATTGACAATGTCAAAAGATGCCAGGATGTAATGGTTGTTTATGTTTACGTCCTTTATCTTATCGATGAGTTCAAGGCTATTTTTCAGGCTTCTACTATTGTCAAATACACAATGTGAACGTAGTTGATGTTCCAAAGCTTTAGCTAATTTGTAGCTAGGTGCAGTTGTGTAATTTACAAGGGGTCTTATTGGGATGTCATTTTTGTGGATTTTAGGAAGACCTTTAAGAGTAGGGGCTTTGGGATTCATGGTCTTAATGGATTTAACTATATCTTTATCAAATAGAACCTTAACTTTGTTTAATGCATTTTTTATAGCTGTGTTATAGTTTGTTGTAGGATCCTTGTTAATAGGTTTTATGTCATTTTTCACGATGAAGTCATTAACTTTGCTAGAATAATCACATTGGGGCATAATTACAATGGAATTGCCTTTATCTGCTTTCAACATTATAGCGTCATTTTGTGTTAATTTTTCCTTTATACTCATTGTAATAGGAACATCTGCATGTTTTTGATTAATTATTTGGGCGTGTGATTCTCTATCATGACAATTCTTTATTTTTCTATTTACTAAAGAACGAAGTTGGTTTCGAGAGTCAGAGTCTTTTATAAACTTTATGGCTGCTTCAGCATTAATGAGTTCATCAAATATAGAGTTTTTAGTTTGTTTGGGTATGTTATATTTAAAACCTTTTTCGAGCAGTTTCAGTTCATTGTCATCGAGTACTATGTTTGTATAATTGACTACTCTGGGGTAGAACTTAAAGTCAACCTGGAAAATTTCTACAGACGATTTTTGTGTAATCATTAGCTGGTTTAGTTTTTGTTCTTGTTGCCTTTTCTTTTTAATTATTTTTGGGGTGGTTCTGTTCTCAATTTTCAATATTAAACTGTTGAGTTGAATGGGGTGAAGTGAGTTGGCTAATTCTAGATACTTTTTATACATCAAAGTGTTTAACATACTTTTTTTGGCGTACAATGATTTAATTTCCGTTTTGAGCCAGGATTTCTCTGCTAATTTTTTTGCCTTTTTGGCTGCAAATGTCTTGGATTTTACTTTTATCTGGACATAGTTCGGTGTTAAATCATGTCTGAGACAGGTTTTGTTATATTTGATATTGTGAACTGTATATGCAAGTTTCAACTTGATATTCTCGTACTGGCTGGCAATTTTTGCTTGACTAGCATTTAATAATTTCGACATCATAAGATGTTGGATTGCCCCTGAACTGGTTATAATAACTAATATAACAGTATAGCCCCGAAGTTACAATTCACACTTGAAATAGAAAGTAACAATCAAATAAACTTCCTCGACCTCACCATAAAGAAAAATAATAACAGCTTTGAATTTGACATATTTAGAAAGCCCACCACAACCTCCCAGACGATACATGCTTCCTCATACCATCCCCAAAGCCACAAAACAGCTGCTTATAACAGCATGGTTCATCGCCTTTTAACAGTGCCATTATCACCTACAAACTACGAGAAAGAATTAAACACTATAAAATATATTGCGACATCCAATGGATATGAAAGTAAGATGGTTGATAGGCTGATTAAAAAACAACGAAATAAAAACAAAAACAAACATCTAAACCCGAACCAACAGCCCCTTAAATACATTCCGATCGAATATGGCCACCGATTACACAACCTATTAAATAAGGAATTAAAACCACACAATCTTCTACCCGCCCCTAGAACTTCAAATAAATTAGAACGCCTTATAACTGCGAATAAACCTCCTAGCGAGAATGAGAAACTGACTAAAACTGGGGTGTATAAGTTAAAATGTGGTGATTGCGAAAGTTATTATATCGGCCAAACAGGTCGATCATTTGCAACCAGGTTAAAAGAACATAAACCAAACCCTCGTTTCACCCAACAAAAATCCACATTCGCCCAACATATAATTGAGAATGACCATAGAATGGGAAAATTAGATGAGAACGTTTCCATTCTCAGCTATTGTAAGAAAGGATTTTTATTGGACACGTTAGAAGAGTTCCATATCTACAAATCGTTAAAAGTAGATGCCGACAACCTACTAAACGACCAAATCCACCACAGCTCCAATTTAATTTTTAACAAAATAATTGAAACCCAAGCAACACTAACGCATCCTACTAGACATGGCTCAAAACAATACCGAGGACAAAGGTCAGATAGACCACCTGAACGTTCCAGTTAGTTGTGGCTTGGATGTCACCCGTCGCGGCCGGTGAACTTACAATAATGTCGTCCTTCTGTAAATACCGGTATTATTCGTTATATGTGTTCGTGTGCGTGTTTGTACTGTATGTCGTGAACTGTTTATTTGTTTTAACTCAACGACGTCCATTGGACTGAAGACTCAAAACTGGCCCGCCTGATGATGGTACAACTTCGTGCCGAAACCTAGGTCGCAATAGCCGACTAATTTGAACTGGTGACTGAAGGTATTTAAACCATTATATTAGTCATATTTTTCTATTGGCAAATTCATTGTTTTACTTACTCCTCCAATTCCCTATCAAGCAGATGTCTAAGCAGAAATACTTCAGATATTCGTACTTTGGTGGTCTTTGTGCTTGTACGTTCCACCCCCTTCCCTCGTAAACTCTGCCCTCATGATCTACCAAAAAACTGAAAATGTTATTTTTCTAAGCCGGGACTGCATATTTCATGCAAATACTATGTATTAGTACCACTATTTATTCCACTACGTAAATAACAGACAGAGAATCTATGACTTGATATATACTGTTTGCCTATTAACGAACTTTCAAATTTCACTACCTAGCTGAGTATGCTTTTTACTTTTACTAATTAGAAATAAAATAAAGCTTACTAACTATTTTATTTATTTGCTTAAACTAATATTCAATAAAATAATGTTATCAAAAATGTGCCGGCAAAATTTTGAAATAGTTCGTCAATATTTTTTTTTTTTTATTTTAATTTAAACTTTATTGTATACTAAAACATTAGTATATACCATACGTTAAGTCTAAGTACATCTTCTGGTCCTCTTCGATTTGAAATATGTGGGGGGAATTAATAGTATGAAATTATAGGTAAAGTAATAATAATTTAATTTTACTTATAATAGCTGAATACTTTATTTATTGTTTTTACTTAATACAAACAGTAATAAACCAACAACAATACTTGCAATGTTATAATACTTAGAAAATACTTTTCAAGAAAGTGGCAAAGTACTATAAACTGTTTTTTATTCTTTGATTACAAAAACTTTTACTGCAATGAAAAACTGTAAACTAATATCTAGGTGATAAACTTATTGAGACTTTAGATCCATGTATTATCAGAAATTAAAATTAAGACTCGATATAATTTTAATCACTCTCGCTTAAAAATATTGTTCTCTGAATGTAAAAGAAGGTAAATACTTACTTATCGTCTCTTCTGTTTCTTCTGCCTTATTGGCTCACTCCAGCGAGCCACAATTACAATTTTAATTTCTGTCGATCCTTAAACTGTATCTACAAATGTAAGGCTCAATTTTAATTGGTCCAACTGTTTCTTACTGTTACGAAGCTTGATATGAATGTTACACTCACTTGTATGCAATATCCTCCAGACACTCCGCCACCACGTGCTTCTCCTGTATTCGCCTCACTCTAGCGATGCAGTCGTCTTTGTCTTCGCAAGGTTTCCCGCCAGTTTGGCACAGCCTCAGATGACGCACCGGAGTCATCAACAGCTGTTTACGAACTGGAGGGAACGCCATCCAGTCGTCACGGTAGAGGTAGTCTATTCCGGGGGGCGGGGGAGTGTAGGCACGTTGCATTGCCAAACTAGCTGCGAACGCGGCCTTCTGGTCCGTCTGAAAGTGATTTGCTTATAGTAGGCAAGTTTATTTGTTTGTAAAATATGTCTAGTAGCTCCAACAGGGTTTCTAATCATGGTATCATCCAACGATGGACAAAGATGGAACTCAATATAAAGATGGACATTTTGATTACATACATACTATTTTTGTGTAAAATTATACTTTATGGTTGTTCTTAATAGTGATTTTTAGTTGATAGTAAGACGGGTACCTTATTTTTCAAGTATGCATGTGGACTTTTTATGAAGTCTGTCACACCAGAGACAGAAATTAAAATATGAACTAGATTAAGGCAAGTTTGTAGCTTTGAAACATGCAGCATTATCCCATCATCAACTTTCAAATCCTGATATTTGTTTGACCTAAATTTGCCTTAAACTATTAGTTATAACATAGACATGGTCATAAAAATAGTTTTAGCTTATTTGAAGCCATATTTAAAAATAGCAGTATTATGTTCATTCCTTTTGTTACTCATCGATAATTTATAAGTTTTGTGACCCAAATGATCCATTGAATATCAACCAACAATATTGCTGTAGTGTTGAGAAAAATTTGAAAATAGTAACTAAGTATTTAAGTCTTAGTTAACCATGTACAACTTAAAAAATCTTAAAACAAAACAGCTGAAGTGAAAAAAAATATTAGTGACTAACACTACAAGGTCATAACTATTTATTTCGTTAATATTTTTAAAAGGGTATCAAATGTTGTATATACTAACTTCCTGAATTAAAAATACAAATCTAAATGCGTGTAAAATAGCCTTCAGTCTACTAGCCTTAACTCCTAATTAAGAATGGTTATTCTTTTCTCAACTCCCTTTATGGTTAGACTATATTTCGTTAAAATGTCACTTAGATGAGATAAAATACTACCTGTGGCTTGATAAGGTGTAAAATATCCATCTTGTTTGCTAAGAAATCCTCAAAATCCATTTCACATGAATATAAAAACAATATTAATTCAAGAAATAATTCATGATTACTTTTAGTTAAAGCTAACTAAAAAAACTTTACAAGTGGCAGGAAATAAAGAAAGCTTTTGATGTTCCATACTTGTACGCCTAACATTTTATCGTATCGTTCCAGTTATAGCGATAAGCTTACTATTTTGATAACAAAACGGTTGCTTTTGTTATTTCTCGAATGGCATCGATTAAAGAGTAAACAAAAACAGTAAGGTTTGAAACGTGTAGTTGATATGCTTACTTGGAGTTTAAATGGTTTATGCTATATCATTATCTCAGAAAATGGTTTATAACTGTAAAAATTTGTAAAATCGCTAGAATAGAGCGATATGTTAGCCGAGGACCCAATAATAAAACGTCATCTTTGGGGAGCCTTAAACCCAAAGTGGCAGGTACCTATAACCCCACCTTTAAAGTATGTATACTTTGGAGTCACAGGATCAGAACCATGTTTAAACTATGAGGAATGTGTGAGAAGAATTCAAGCAGTTCAAAGATTTCATATGATTGCATGTCCAGATATTCGATTTAAGTAAGTTAAATTTATTTTAAATATAGCTAGTAAGTTGTTTTTGAAACGGGAAAGAAACTTAGAATTTAACACTTGAACAAACATGTTGCAGAAACAGATTTTTAATTATACATTATAAAATTATGTCTATAGTAAACGTAATCACGTATGAATAGAGTAGTATTATTGCTTATTATTTTTTTTCCAATCGCTAGTGTGACAATGAAAAGTGAAAGACCAGTAAAGATCGAACAAATGGGTGTTATTTTAAAGCTCTTACTTTATCTTCACAAAACCAACCAAGTAAATACACTTAAAAAAACTATTAAACATAGTCTTTGCTAAGGGACAGAGCTAAAGTTGAATAATTTTGAATTGGGAATAAAGTAAAAGATGTTATACATATATATAAATTTCACAAGGAAATTACGGCAATTTAACGGAAATTTTTAATTAATCAATGAAATATGACAACGATTTTTGCTTGGCTTCGTATAAGCCACAACTAAAAATAAATAATAAAGTTATTTTAAACTTTTTATGTGTCATATTACGCATGTGTAATATATTATAATATTGTTTACAGTTTCGTCATTGGAGGTGACTTGCGCATTTACGAGGGCAGAGGATGGGACTATCAACCAGGACTTTCAAACGACTATAGAAGACTTATCCCAAAGTCATTGTATATAGGTTATATTGGAAACTTTAGAAAAGGTACCTTTCTAGTCTATATCATTACAGTATTAACCTTATGCACTATTTTTATCGTAAACAGATATTAAAGAGAAGAAATCTAAATCCAAATAAAAAGGTTACAATACCTGCAGACTGCCTATTTATAGTGGTCCAACAGGATTCCTTTTATTCCTATTCACCCTGTTGGATTCAAAAGGACCAAAATAGGCAGTCTGAAAGTAGTGTAACCTTTGTATTTTGATTTGCATAAAGTGGCCTAGAAAACAACTTGAAGATGAAGTTGAAATTGAATAATCTTGCACCAACAGAATTGTATTTATTTTTCAATTGTAGTGTTTTGTTCTAATATATTTATGTAGTTGGATAAATTGTTTGGACAATGTATGTAACGGTACTACAGTAAGGAAGGGAAAGGGGGTCTTCATCAAACGTTATCCGATATGTTTCCGGCTAAACTGTATGAAAATAGAATGTTCAAATGAAAATAGAATATTTTACGTCGACGATGGATTGCCTTGTTTATATCCCTCATTGAACATGGCTTCCTGCGTCAATTGTAAAAAATAATAGAAATCATATAACTTAGTTTAAGTGACATTTTACAGTATAATGGCGAATATAAATGTGTTCATTCATGATGACTGTGATTTGGGAGACTATTTAAACTTATACCATTGTAAGTGAATTAGGTAGCTTGACAATTTTTGTTTGAAGTCAATCTGTGCATCGACATGGTTACAAGGGTGTAGTGTTTAGTCTTCCTATTTGCTTGAAATAAATTTAAATTATCGTACACTAATAAATGTATGTATTCACAGAACCAGATCAAGCCCCAAGATATGACGTGACACCTGAGATGATTTCATTGGCAAACAGTTTAGTTCTTTTGGCCCTCGAGAATGGAATTTTGGATAAATACTTTATAAAGGAAGATTTATTTTGAAAAAAAAAAACACACACTATTACACTTCAAATTGTAAATTATAGATCTTAGACATGCCTGCAAACCAAGGAGGGGGTTAAAACTTGTGTGTAAGCCTTCATAAAGAACTTAGGTTGTTCATTGAACTCCTAGTTTTAGAATGTGAAGTAAAAAATGCCCTTGCCTCTTTAAACACACACAACACAACAAAAGTTCAGTGTTCCCCTTAAATAATTTATATTTTTGGTACGTATTTTAACCAAAGTAAACTCCTGCTACAGCCTAGGGTTTATTTGTAAAATATTCGCTGTACATTAAACAAAGAGGAATTCACAGACCAATATTATGGAGAGAGATATTAGCAAAAGTTCGCATTATTGGTCAATGCAAAAAGTAACTTAAGTTGAAGAAATTGCTTATTCATCTAACTATTCATCTTCAATTTAACTGTTTTTTTTTCACACGCAAAATCTATTAGTAGGGTAATGCTTAACCTTAACATATCATGGATAATCATTTGTTATTATAGTTAATAAATTGCATCGTTGTTAAATTGCGTACACGAAATATTTAACCCCTTCTAGCTTGGCAGAAGCAGTTTGTTTAAATTTTTCAACAAATTGTTAAGTAGGTTTATGTGAATTAAACTTACTATAGTTCATAATGACCTGAACGACTAAATAGTAAAAGTTGATTATTTCACTATTTCCCAGAATGTTTTTATTTTATGACCCTAGAATCCATCCTAACTTGATTAGAAAAAATATCGATAAAATACTCTAAAGTCGTTTAGCAATATTATTCAGGAAAAGTAGTTATTTATCAACATGGATGTCAATTTTGAACTTGTAGGGTAGTCTAAAATACATAAGTATCTAATTAAGATTAATATCATAATTAATAAAGGGCTTCAAATAATAATAATAACAAGAAAACGTTATTTTCAATCGATTTGGAAGTCAGTTTAGAGCTGACTACATTCAGTAGTCCAAAACAAAATGAAGATAGATGAATTGTAATTAATTAAGGAAATTATAAATAATAAAAAATACAGCGTTGAGCAATCAGAAAAACGAATCTCAACGTATTTATAGCACCTGAAATATATTGAATTGATGAACTTTAAATCTAATTTTAATCACTTTGTACATATCACGGTTCTTACAGTATTATATTATGGACGAAGATTATTTTTTTATGTTTACAATCCAGCCTTTTTTTATTAGGCATATATTTGATTTTAGGGGTGGGGGTTGTTGGTCTAGTGCAGCAACTTGGAGAGGGACACATTTGATCCCTAAAATCAAACATATAAAATTAAGGACACATTCCCTTAAAGGGTTTGTGATTCCTTAAAACAGCTCTTTTGCGTATACACTGAAGGATTGAGCTCATCTGATTCAGTATAAATCGTAATGCTTAGGTCCAAGGTTCAAATCCCACCAACAGCCAATGGTTTTAGCTATATCATAACGACTATTTTGCCACAACCATCTATGCCAAGTATTAAGTTAAGTGTAAAATGAAAACACTTACAGATTGAAAGCAATTAACATACAAAAATACTTGTTAACGTAATTAGTAAAATATATTCACTAAAACTAATTGACTTTAATAGGATATTAAAACGAAAGATATTGCGAACGAATGGTGGAGAAGGTACGATAGACACAAGTGAGGTTGGGTTGAGGTCTTGTCAAAGCCAAGCTAGTCACCGCAAGATGTGTAATGACTAAAAGTTGAAGCTAGTTACCAGCCATGACTTGTGTTACTGTTATTCTCGCTGTTTGGTTTGTTCTAACTGTTTCAGTTCTGCTTCTTATTACTTTAGTTTGGTCGTTTCGCAGCCCAGCCATCTTGGAGTTGCATAAATTATTGTAACGGAAAGGCAATTTGCAAATGTAAGTAATGTAAAGTAAGTTGGCTAGATGATTTCAATTTAGTTATGCTTTAATTATAACAAAGAATTTATCTACTAGCACATAGTAACACTTTATGAGAAAATTTGTATTTAATTTTATTGAAAAAGGTGCTAACTCAGAGCCTAAGAAACGAGTATGCGTATATATTTTTTATTGGAACGTTGACAACGTATTGCACTTGCCCTCCCCACACTTATGCTTGTGATAGGTTAATAGACCATATACAGTAAATTGATGCGTAAACACATTCATTACCTGGACGAACTGTACTATTAAATAAAAGAGTCACCAGAATTGACTTATCGCTGAATTAAATTGGGATTCTGTCGCGTAGCGTCTCAGCTACCCCAAAAATGTAGTACAGTAGTCTTTCAAATAAAATTGTAAAAACAATTTTTTAATAATCCGTGGTGTCCACAAAAAATAAAACACAGGCAATGCATTAAATCAATCTTTTATTTTAAGTTTTTAATACTAAGAGAAAAATATTACACGTTAATTTAAATTCTTGAAAGGAATGATCTAAAGTGAGACCAAAACAATTTATTACCCACTGTCACTTCTAAACAGTTGGCTTTGATGAACCCACGAGAGATTCCTTCCTTGATGAGTTTATTTCTCGCATTCAGCATTTCTTGGACACCTGATCTATCTGGAAAACATATACTTACTTTGAGAAATAGAGTTACCTTTGTTTTGTAAAAAGGTCACAAGATGCTTTGAAAACATAACTGCATGGCCCTACCTGTATTGTTTTATGTGTCTATTCAGTTTAAAACTGAAACATTTGCATGGTCAAAAAAAACTTTAGTCTATAGGCCTAAGTATAAAGCCAATAAACAAAACAAGGTAAAATTAGTAGTTATGTAAAAGATCAAATAAAATACACTACACTTTGATAATGGATGAGCAGTTTTTAGAAAAAAGTGTAGAATGTATTCATCATTAATACTGTATTATTAATGAAGTGTTTAGTCCTACCTGGAAGGGGTTCCAACATGGCAATAAATAAACTCCTGTCCTCGAGACTATGGAACTTTTTCGGTACTGCGGGACTCTTGTTCCATCCACGGCCCTCATATATCTTACCGTCTCCACCAATTAGAAAACTGAAACAGGTTAAATAAGTTGTCGTTATACTGATGGAGAAGCGTATTTTCAACATATACTAAAGATAAACTTTCATACTCTAGAGCAAAAATAAGTTGGTTTCGAAGATAGTAGTTGCAATATTTTTTACTATAATATTCGCCCTCTCATTTCCCCTAGGAAAATACTATTGATCTATTAAAATAATATCGCATCGTCATCAAAAGACATTTTATTTGTTATGGTTTAGGGTAGATCTATGTTATAGAATGAAATTCACCTATTATTAACAACAAATTTTAAATATTGTTTAAATAAATCATTTTTATTTACTTGATATGTTGTTACCAGAGGCTGAAGATGGGTTCTGATGAAAACTTGTAATATACCTCCACATTGTTTTTAGTAAATTGTGATTAATTTATTTAAGTGATGAGTAGCGAAAAAACTAAGAATAACATATAGGAAATTGTTGTTCTTTGTTTTTGTTGGTTTACAATGAAAAATAATGCTCATCACACAGAAGTCTATTTTTGACTGGTTTTCATGTACTTAAGCTAATTGAAAAAGTCAATTTTTGGCTCTAGCAATTATAACGCTAGGTAATGTAAAAGAATACAAAGATTTTTTTCCTACAGTCACCCGACAAAGTTGGCTTCCTTGTACTGTTTATAGTACAGAAAGCTGCTAATTGCTGCATATTTATACTTTGCCGTACGGTTTATACTTTGCCGCACATCAGGATTCCAACGAATCAACACAAAACAGCGTGGTTCCATTATGCACGTAATCCGTGTACGCTTGGAAATAGGTTGGCACCACTTAAAGATAATTATACTATGAGCAGCTGATTGACTATTATAACTACGATTTAACCTGTCATTTCGTGTTTATAGTTTCGGTATTTCTGAACTTTCTGGACTTTTCTTTTAAACGTTTTTAAAACCTTCCTACGATCTTAATAAACAAGAAAATACCTTTTAAGTTTTATTTTTTTAGGCGCGGAAACCACTTCAAATTACAAAAACATACGGAACTATATTATCAAAACGCGGAGCACATTTCTTGCCGAGGAAAAATCGCGGAGTGATATGGACCGCGGGTACTACTTTCTCTAGGGCACCATTTGTGTTGCCAGCTGAACCTAAAAACGTGTTGCATAGTGTTTGAAAGACTAATTATTGATATGCTTTATAGTGACTGTAGGAAAAATATAATGTGTAACACGAGTGAAAAAGGCCTTTGCTGCACTCGAGATCATTCCACACTCGCCTGCGGCTCGTGCGTAAACATTGCTCTCGTGTGCAGCAAAGTGCCACTTTCACCACTAGTTACACAAATAACTATTTCAATGCTGTATACATTTTGTTATACAATAGTTTACTACGATTTTATTATTATATTGTCTGGGTATCCAAGTGGTTATGAGGCTTGCTTTTTAATATGGTTACTGGTTTATTCCAGGCAATGTCGATTGTAGATCCAGACGGCATATGGCAATAGGATATAAATTAATAGAGTTGTCTAACAAAAATATAAATGACATGAGTAGGAATTTATTTTGAAAAAGACATGTAAAATGCTCATGACGTTACAACACAAAAACATAAACTGCAATCAGTGTGTTATAATGAGTGTTGAACTCATCATTTATTGCTAAGTGACCATCATGTATCCACCTATAATCAATAGGCTTTGAAATGATTGGTTATTATCGTCATTGTACTAAGAATAAGAATACCTTCTAATAAGAATTAAATAATAATACCTGGTCCATCTCGTCTTTTTACTTAGTTGCCACTTTAAAAAAGTTGTAGCAATAACAGACCATTAGTTTTAGAATAATTATTTCATCATAGTTTTGTAAACTGTCTTATGTTTTTCACAAAAGTTAACCTAAAGAAAAGAAATTATTAAAACGACATATACTGTTGTTGAATTGAAATTGAAAAATATACAACTATCAAACAGTTGAGGATGAGTTATTTCTTATATAAGTGTTAGTTAATCATGCACTTATTACAAAACTAAACTCTACAGCTGGTTATCCATTTTGATGGTCATGTGAGCAATAAAGCTCTACCTGTATCTTATGTCGCCGAAATATCTGCTGTCAAAGTCCTGCATCGCTCGCATTTTCTCTTTGTTGCTGTCTGTGGTGTTGCAGTCAAAGTTGTGTACATTCCTTCTCAACCTCTCCACGTATGACTTGGTGTGGCCAAACAGTAACACTGAAGCGGCTAACATCATTCTTCCATCCGGAGGACCCACAGCGTTCCAATCCGCCCTGGAGATTATATCCAGTGTTTCCCCTGGTTCAGGTACTACTGCAGCTGAAGGGTGGATATGATTGAATTTTAGGGTAGAATAAGTTATAATTTTATTTAATGTGTGGAGGACAGTAATGGGAGTTGCGGTAAAATTGATTTTGTTTCTTTGCTGAGTGCTGGTAATTAAAAAGAGAGAGTAGCTCCTATTTAACTTTTAAATAGAAGTAAGCAAATAAAGAATAAACGAATTGAGCAACATAAGGAGAATATAAGTACTTGAGTGATGGAATTGTCGATGAAACGTGTAAAATGATGGTTGTTACGTGTATATAAAAAGACAATAAAAAAACATGTAAATAACAAAGAAAGTAGGAGTCATTTCAATAAAAAACAATGCTAGTGGCATTTAAATTAAAGGTAGAAATTGCTTCCTTTTAAAACTAGTTATATTTGTTTACAAAACAGTAATATGGCACGTAGACGAACAATGCAAGAAAGTGTCGATGATTTCAAAAGTAACCTAACGTTAAATGTATAAAAAATATTTTATGTTGATTTGTGAATAAAAATATCGACTGATCATTCCAAGTAAAGTACAGTGGAACCTTGATAAGAAGACCCTCGATAACAAGTCGCCCTTGATAACAAGTGTCATTTTGAAATCCTCTTAACATTATTTTACCCCTAATCACATGTTATTACAAACTCGATAAGAAGTCAACCTTGATGATAAGTCTTATTTTACAATCCCCAAGAGAGTCTTGTTATCAAGGTTCTACTGTACATGATATTACATATGTAAGTGTACTATTGCCTCATTAGTAATAATTTCACAGCAACATGTATGTATTTGTAAATATTAATATGTATTATTTACTTAATATTGAAAAGATTTTCAATTCTTTCATGACAATATTACATTATTTAAATAACTTAGAGTATCGTTATGAATACCCATTACAAATTCACGCCATAGAAAATACACCAAACATTTATTCATAGGGTTTGAAGAGTAACCAGGAAATTTTAAGAATTTTACTTAAGTTCTAATTTGTAACTAATATTTTGATCACCGTGACAATATTAAATAGTATGGCATTTTGCAAGTTTGTTGTGTGTTTGTTTTCTAAAAATTAGCTAAGCGTGATTCAATCTATTTATATTAAAACAAATTTTTCACTTACTTGGCTCCTCCATTGTTTAAGTTCACGGTGATTACTAATAAAGACGTCAATATACTGATTACAGTATTGCTGCAGTTAAGATAATCTTCCAACCATAACCCTTGGAGATAAATTATTACTCAAGACCCTATCGAGGTCGATTTCATTTTACACTACGATACTATACATTGTTCTTTTGTCTTATCTTATATTGTGTATTTTCTTCAATTATACGAATCTAACAATGGATAACACAACTAAAGGTAATTGTTTCCAAATACTGTTTAAAACCCCAAGTCAATAATATATTAGGTGGATATGACAAAAGAGTTATATATACAAACAAACTGTTTAAAATAAAGCCAAAATTAAAAAAAAAATGCGTGTTTGTATTTAAGTTGTATTTTACAAAGGCTAAATACATACAGATCAATAAAGATGGGATGTCAAGCTTTTCAAACGATGAAGGTATGGAAGAAGTATAGGTTGTTAATCAATAAAATACAGTATTTTGGGAATTTTTTAAGTATTTGAACTCCTTTAACTCCTTTATCTAAAAGGATGGTGATATAATTTTGCATACTAACCAACTTGTTATAATGTTTAAACCAATTCCAAACTTCAGTCAAACACATTAAGTTGATAAGCTATGCACTAATGTAAATAGTTTACTAAAATTCTATTAAAATCGCGAACATTCTCCAATAAACGTAATCCTTGCTATACAAATTAATAAAGTCAATTTACAAGAATAAAACGTTTACTGCTAAACATTGGATGAGGAATATTTACAGTAATTAAAAACATTTTTATCCACGAAATTAAAATTAGAATTCCTTAAAAACTTGAAATTGTATTTATGAAATCGGAGTGGTAAATAATGTAAGATTATTTGTATAGTGTGGACATATTAAAAAAGCTCATAAAAGCATAGGAAATAACATAGATTGTATCAGATTCCATTTACTTTCCTCCACATTGAAGTTGGTTTATGGGCTGACTTTTACGATCGACCAACTAGAACGTTGAGCCAAAAAGTTGGGCTGTTTAGGCAGATTGATCTTGCTGCCTTTTTATCCCTGGATCTAGCGACGATTGAGAAACAAAATAAATCTCGAAACAGTAAAAATGAAGTCAATGGGATTGGTGATGTGATGAAATGTACGGTAGTATATTTGTCTATAATATTATCTTCCTTTGTTTAAATGTAGCTGTCGTCATACTGCAGCAAAACAGCTGTTTTTATTACACGTCTTGTGAGTCTGAAGTAGCTTCTTTACTCCCTAGGGAGTAAAAAGCATTTTAGTCCCTAGGGAGTAAGGCCAGCTGTTAACGCATTTGTACACTTCGGTTGTAGAAAATATTCAAGTATTGAATTTTTTACCATTAGTTCACTTGTGGTGCAATAAATACTTGTTTTGGTTATGGTCAATTATTCTTAGTTTACGTCATGAAATCTTATAATTTCATTAGACATCACATTTTACATTCCTTTTTTTCAATAGCTTTATACAAATATGATCATCTTTAAACAAAAAAACAGTTAATCAAGTAATACTGGATCTAGGTATCAAGGGGGTTTTAATATTGGTTTCTGTCCAAAGAAATATCTGGTCATAGTCAGTAGCGAAACCACTCTAAGCATCTCATTCTACACGCATATTCTACTCATTCTTCACTTAAACTACTTTGCATCGTACCTTAAATATTGACCCTAAGCAAAAATATTTCTTTTCCACATGCTGTAAGTCTAACCTCCAAAAAATACGTATACAGTATTGTAAGATAAATTGAATCAAACATTAAAACAAAAGGATATTAACTATGCTGTAGAAGGAAATAAAGATATTGTTTATAAAAATCTCTTAACGCAGAAACTATGTTTCTATACAGTCATCGGTGAACAGTGGAAAAACAAGCTTATAAAGAGAACAAAACTACAGCAATCAAACTATATAACCCTCTGACAGGTAAACAGGGCCAGAACTGAACGAGCTGTGTTCATTTGCTCCACTTTAGTTTTCCGGGTGAATAAATTTGTTGGTTTGGGGTGCACGTGAATAGATCAACCATTTTACAAAGCTTATACAGACCTTTGAGAGATCCGATGAGTTATTTCAGCAACCCAATCTGAATAAGGATGATGTTTGCTTTGTACCGAATGCTTTATGTGATTTTCCTAATGGTGTTCACTGGGTTAATAAACTGAGTTTGCGTGAATCAATTATCATTTTACTGACTGATACAGGGTAACAGAGTTAAAGTCGTGCGTTGGAGCTTTTCTATTACCGTCAAGAAGTAAACTGCTACATTTTTGAAAGCAGTTAACTCCATTTATAGCATCATAATTATTACATCTATGAGATTATTTCAGTAGTAAAAAAATATCATGTTTATAAATTATTAAAATTCATTGCTGTAGCCCCGGAACTGTAATATATAAAATATCTGGTTTTACAATACCTTTATAAATTTATAAATATTTTTATAAATTAATTATCAATGTGAAAGTAATATAAATCGCCAACAATATGTAATGTGTTTCTTGCCTAGTGATTAACGCTTTTGATTGGAAAACGAGGGAGACAAGTTCAATCCCTGTCATATAAAAAAGATACACATTTGAAAGTTTTTCCAAAAAAAACGTTATAATTTTTGAATTTCAACACTAGTGGCATTTTGTAAATGATAATTAAAATATTTCTTTGGAATTATAATTATTACGTGACTGCTTTTAAATCGTATATCTAATTTGGTAATCGTCATATGTTTGATGAAGCAGAAACAAAGACTATTTAATAGTTCTGCTATAGATTTAAATTAAAGCTATATAAAGGATTTTTTTAGGTTGTCAGATTTTTTACCTTGCATTATCTCTTTCACATAGCCACTGAGGCCTGCATGAGTAACCTTCTAGCAAACCAAAGGGTTAGCCGGTAAAGTACAAGGGCGAACTGTACTGGCAAATAGAAGTGGCAGGAACAGGACCCAAACCCACGACATCACTACCTCAAGCCCGGAATCCTCGTTTGCTACAGACTGAACCACCGACTCGCCAGGTCCTTAAATTACAATTTAGGTTCATTAACACTACATAAAAACATATAAAATATTCATCATTATAAATTAAAGAAAACAACTCAATATTTTATAGGTGTCACTTGAACCCAATACATGTAAATGATAAAAGAGAAATATTGTATGGAGATGGAGAGTAAAGAAAGAAAACCCCAGTCTTTTGTCTCCTTGTTGGTTTAATGAACAATACCATACACTTTACAACTCCCAACTGAAAGACTACTTTTAAACAAGGGACTAGAATTCGCTGGATTTACTGTTAAACTTTTGTCGACTCAAAACAAAAGAGAATCAGCAGTTTACAGCTGTATATACCACTGACGGTCGAGCATTCCAGCTTTATAACAGTTTAACAATGTGTCTTAGCTGGGAATTTCTTTGAAGGTTTAAATAATAATTTGAACTTTACGTCATATTAGATGGTTTAATTTTTTTACAACCAAAATAGCTATTTAGTGGCTGATGATTATTGATATGATTTTAAATGTTAAAAAGGAGATAGTACTTTTTTAATAATTCTGCGTACGTTAAAACAGAAAACCAACTAATGAAAACACACGTAAACTTGTTCTAAATAAATAAAATATACAAAGGAGGAAATATTTCAAAGCAGTAAATGATTCATGACGATGTAATTTTAGTATCAACTTACATACACACATAGTTACACACATAGTACATAGTTTATAGAAGAGTCATATTAAAAACATCACTCTTACATAAAATATCAATCCATTTTCCAAGGTGATCTTTTTCAAACGTCTGCCACCGTAAATCAAATTCGCATTATGAGCAAATTTTGTACGGTAATTTTGGGTGGTTATCAAACAAAGATTAATATTAACGGAGTGTTATTCATATGCCTACGCTTAGTATTGCATAAATAGCATTTACTTGCAAAAAACGTTGGTTTTTCTGCTTAAATAACGATAATTTTTATAAAAACTTATAATTAAAACTTATTTGTATTTTTGAAGTTAAAATAATTGAATCTACGAGTATAAACATGAATTTGTCTATAAGCAATCACTATGCAGCCTAATTACTTCTATGAAAATAACGTAATAAAATTTAACATTTTAATAGTGTATCGATTTTTTAAATAATATTTCCAGTCTGGATTTAAAACCAACTAGAAACCTTTTGCTCAAAATTGAGCAAAAACTGCAACTGATAAACAGAAATAAAGAACGAAAACATAAACAGCTAAACCTCAATCAAAGAAACTCTAAAGTTAGTTAAAGACATAGGTGTTATAAAAATATGAAAAAATTATGCTGTAAAAAATAATACAAGTAATCGACAATCTTTAAATATCGATCCGCTCCCAGGCTTTTTAGGTAATATCTTATGTACTGTAGGAGGGTACCACCTCTAAGCGCAGGTACATGTCAATCAGCCACTGTAAAGTGAGCTTTTTAGTCCTGGGTAGCAAGCTAAATCCCTTTCTTGACACCAACTGGTACGACGCGTACCACAGCCACCTCTAACGCTCCTTTCACACTATACGTTTTCGTTCGTACGAGTGTTAATCGTGCGGGCAGACGGTCGTGGGTCTGTTGCTTTCACACTATACGATTTGTAATCGTACGAGTATCGAAACCCCCCACTCCACCAGTACAGAGTTCATTGATACTTTAGTGGAAAGTTTTGTGGAGTATGGATCGGGAGCAAATTATTGCTGCGCTAATTATTTACAGACACATGAAAAGAAATAAACGCGGCCGTCTGCACTGGGTACATCCCATAAATGTAAGACGTGAGGAAGTGGGTGTGTTTAATACATTATTCGAAGATTTGAGGAACGATGAAGCCATGTTTTTTTTACTATTTTCGTATGTCGAAAGAATCGTTCGACGAATTGCACGATAAGTTGAAAAGTGATCTTCAAAGAAATAATATGACGTTCAGGAATTGCATTCAACCAGTTGAAATGCTGGCTGTGACTTTAGGACA